ACATACATGGGAAAGAAAGTACAGAGATTCAAGCAAGAAAATCAAGAAAGGATGACAGTGCACGGACGGGCACTTACGCTGCAGTGTCTTTTGTGCCACCTTTGTTTTCATGCGCACGGTGAGATTCCACCGCTTGCGGAACCGCTCCGTCCAGCGCTGACTCGCCTTCCACTTGACGTCCGGGAACAACACCTCCATCACCTCTTTTGACCATTCTTGCAGCCGGCCGACAGATACTGCCACACCGTGTTAGAGATTAAGGACCGAGTCTATGAAGAATAGGTGCCCAAATAACTCAAAATCGTTGGACTTAATCTCTGGACAGAAAAGTCGTGTTACAAGAAACGTCGTCGCCGAAAAGTTCAACGTAAAAATCTTACGAAAACCGAGTATGTTGTAGCTCTAGTCCGTGGCTACAATTCCCAATTTGAATCACGTTGATTGGTGAACTAAATCGTGAGTTATCTGTTTCGGCGCACAAGGGGTAAGCTGTCATAAAATCTTTAACTCAATCACAATTAACTCACAAGTTCTCACAAGTTCACACAAGAGAGTTAGAGTACCAATAAACCAGGTAGGAGGGAAGAGGAGGACGAGAGAGAAGGTCCCAAGGGAGTCCCCAACCAAGGAAAACCCCATGCCACACAATTCCCCTCTCCATAGGATACCCAACTTCCACTTTTGTCACTATCCCAAACCTCCACAATCCACCTCAACCCAACTTGGCCACACTTGCCAACCTGGTTTGGCTTCTCCCAACCACATGGCAGCAATCTACAGTGATGGGTTCGAATTTTCCAACCCCAAAAGTCTGTACCCCATAATGAGTCACTCAACAAGTTCCCACAGTCGCCATAACCAAAGACCAGAAAGCATACGAACTCCAACCTTCGTAACTTTCTTGTTCTTGCTCCGATCGCGACGATTCTTGGTTCGTCGGGAAGCTCTTGAACTGAGGAGTCATTTCCGATATCTGCCCAAGTCAAATAGAATTCACACACACTCAGGAAATCCAAACCGCACAAAACACAAATTCTTACACACGTTCACATCACCCATGCAACACACGAACACATGATGGGAGGCAGACAGACGTGAATGCAAATGATTGCATCACACAACACACCGCGGCGTCGCCAGTCCAGGAGTTGGGCGTACACCTTCATCTCCATGGGTCTGTACCAGGACGACCTTCCGCGCCCATGAAGTCGACGCTGAGCGCCGTGTGCAGCCTTGAGCTCCTCCGCTTGGTTTTTCCACTCCGTGAGGCATTTGCGGTGTATGTCGGACTCCCGCGCAACCTCGCTTATCGATGCCGCAAGCTCCAGCCGTACGAGCCACTTCAGTTTCTCCTGGGCGGTGTAGCGCTAACGTGTGTGTTGAGTCATCTTGTGCCTGGGAGAGGGGGGGCGGGCATCACGGTTCTCAGAAGAGGGGTGGGGTCGTTTCTTGTTAATAGGCGGATACATTGGTATTGGCATCTTCGCGCGTGGTGTGTCGCGCCACCAAGATTCCACGCCGTCAACGTCGGCGGCCTCACAATCGGGGAAGACGTCCTCCTCGGCGCCTTCTTCACCATCGATTCCACCGTCGCCTCCACAGCCGCCTTCCGCGTTGCCGTCGCCAGTGGGTTGTTTATCGGCGGCCACGTCATCGTCGGCGCCCACGGCCGACTCGTCCCACGTGCACTCGTCAGGATTTCCCCACCGCGGGGCAGTCGGCGGAGCAGCGATGACCACATCGGGAGCCTTGGGTGTGTCCGGTTCAGACAGCCACTCGTCGAAGGTGGCTGGCAAATAAAGCTGGAGCACGGGCCGTTGGTGAGAATTCGGGTCAGGAACAGGAGGACTCGGAGGAATCGGAGGAGCGGGAGGAGTAGGAGGAGCAGGAGGTACAGGAGGAGCAGGCGGTGCAGGTGGTGCAGGTGGCACTGGAGGCGATGGTGGCTCACGGGTATACCACCCGTCCGCGGTAAGTCGTCATGGGCGTGGTGGTTTCTTCTTGAAAAGAAAGTGCGTCCCACTGAATTCCGCCATGGCTTCGCCAGCCAGGCGGGCTAGACTAGAAACAGAATGTAAAAAAACGAGGAAGATGTCAGAATGTGATGGTTGGCTAGCCTGCAGTGGGGTACTCTATAGCGAGTACAACCCGAATTAGGGTTTCCTATATGTACTCAACTGCTTGCTAGTGAAATTCCTCTTTGCGTGTTTCTCGTTTTCGCCTGCTATCTTGACATGCTATCAGAGCAGGTCGACCCTCCTGGGTCGATCCTGTGGGTGGTCCCGCCCGATGCTTCCGCTGCTGTCTTGTGTGTCGCGCGCCCCGTGGCGCGCGACGGATTTTTCTTCCCGCCACGCGCTCGGGGCGCGTGGCGGTTTTCTGCTCGCCGCGCGCACGAATCGCGCGGCGGTTTTCTGCCCGCCGTGCGCCCCGAGGCGCGCGGCGGTTTCCTACCCCGTCGACCCGCGCGTCGCCCCCCGTCGCCCGTCGAAGCGCCCCCCGTCGCCCGTCGAAGCGCCCCTGGGCCCCGCGCGGGCCGCGCGCGGCCTGTGCGACCTGCGCCAGGCCCGCGCGCGGCCCGTACGGGCTGCGCCAGGCCCGCGCGCGGCCCGTACAGCCTGCGCGCGGCCCGTACGGCCCGCGCCAAGCCCGCGCGCGGCCCGTACGGGCTGCGCCAGGCCCGCGCGCGGCCCGTACGGGCTGCGCCAGGCCCGCGCGCGGTTCGTTCGGCCTGCGCACACCGTCCCCCGAGCTGCTGACCGCGCCCCACCCCTGCTGCTGCCCGCGCTCCTGTTTTAGGGTTTGGGGGTGGAGAGTATGGGGGTGCCGTGTGTGTGAGCCGTCCCCTGCTCCTCCTCCTCCTCCTCCTCCGTCTCCCACTGCTGCAGCTACCGCTGAGGGGGGTGGATGTGTTGGAGCCGTCGGAGTGGTACGAGGGGGGTGGCGTGTGAGCGGTGCTAGTGGTTCAACAGGGAGTGTGTGAACGGGGTGTGGGACAGTTGGGGGAGGTTGACCGGAGGTAGCCGACTAGTCGTCCGCAGCGCCTGAAGTCCAGGGAGCCACGACCCCCTGTGGCCTGAGTAGTCCGGGGCTCTGCGCAAGGTAGCCACAGTGTGAGCACTCCTGGTAGTCCAGAGAGCCACGACCCCCTGTGGCCTGAGTAGTCCGGGGCTCTGCGCCTGGTAGCCACAGTGTGAGCACTCCTGGGAGCACAGCGAGCCAGCTGCGTCTGTCGCCGTGTAGTCCGGGTTTAGCCTGGTAGCGACAGTACTACGCACTCCTGTGTCAGAGGTCCACTGGTGATCCCCGATTGATCCTAGGGAAGGGTTACAGGCACGTTGGCCTGGGGGGTTATGGGCGCACTCACCCGCTACACAAACAAGCCCTTTTATCCCAGTGGTTAGTGACTGGGATTCTGACATGGTATCAGAGCGAAGGTCTCGGGTTCGAATCCCGGTGTGTGCACCTCGGGCATCCTAGTGCGGGGGGGTGTCAGAGGTCCACTGGTGATCCCCAATTGATCCTAGGGAAGGGTTACAGGCACGTTGGCCTGGGGGGTTATGGGCGCACTCACCCGCTACACAAACAAGCCCTTTTATCCCAGTGGTTAGTGACTGGGATTCTGACATCCTGCTGCCAGTGTGTCTGCAGCTTCAGCCGTCGCCTCCCATCTTCTCGCCCCCACAGTTTCTCCTCCTCCTCACTTGCTCTCTGTGCTAGCCGCTAGCTTTGCTTATAATTGTGAACTACTGCTCTGCCTGCTTGTTGTATTGATTGTACCCCACTTTGACTATGGGGGTGTGTCAGAATGTGATGGTTGGCTAGCCTGCAGTGGGGTACTCTATAGCGAGTACAACCCGAATTAGGGTTTCCTATATGTACTCAACTGCTTGCTAGTGAAATTCCTCTTTGCGTGTTTCTCGTTTTCGCCTGCTATCTTGACAGAAGAGGGTGCAGAAATGGGCAACGACGGTGACCCTTGCGGGCTAGCGGCTCGGGGTCCTCGTCAATGACAGGCAGGAATCCCCGCCTACCCCCGTAGAGGAACCTGCGTGGCAGCATATACGCTACGCTGGCAGGGAATCTTCCCCACCCTTCGAGAGGGTTCGGAAGAAATGAACATGCGTAGCAGCGCATGCGGCTGTGATTGGGCCGCACGACAACATCCACGTCAGTGCTGTCACGTTCGATGGTTCTAGATAGCATTGTGCGGTGGGAAACCGAACCGCGGCTGTTTTTGCCTGAAAACCATGCACGATCCCACTTGTTGCATGGTCCGTTGGATTCGCCTTATTGCGGGCTTCAGTTTAGTATGTTTAAAAGTGAATTTCATTTTTTTTTTCCGTATTATAGGCGCATGCGCTTATACAGACACCTCAATTAGAAGCTCACCCCCCCAAAAAACACTTTTATTATAAGCGCACCTGCGCTTTTATCCGGGGTAATACGGTAGTGGTGTGACCAGGGTTGGCATTTCCAGGAAACCGGCCCTGTTATGATTTGACCCCCCTAAACGCTCACATCACTTCAGCCAGAAAGCGAGAAGTCTAAGCCTTGCAATCAGGACAGAGTGCACTGGAGAAACACACTTGACTGCTGGAGGTACTGAACTCATAAAATACAACACTACAAACAATCCCAAGCAAGTAGGCAACGGCAAGGTACGTAGGTTCAATTCAAAGCTTGGAAGAAAAGGACGCAACCGAGCTGGTTCTACGGTACATAGTTTCAGTGGAGGGGGTGAATTGTTCCAAGTTAGAGTACCACCGTATGTGCAAATGGCACTCTCTTGAGTGAAGGCAACCCATCAAGTACACAGGACAGAACGAATGTTGTAAGTGAACGGCGTATCCCTGGTTAAAGAGGCAAAAAAGGGGATGACAAAGAGGAAAGGATGACTGCAAAGTGTTGCCTGATGATTGGAGCACTGGAGAAGAAAGGGAAGCAGGAAGATAGTGCAGGCATGATGATCGATGCTGAAAAACTGGCCAGTCACTTACACATAAGAGTATGACAAAAACGGTACGTCTCCGGAAGACACAGCAACAAATTGGCCTTCACAGTTGTCTGTACGGTAATGGTACATCTTGCGGCAATTCGGAGAGTCGTTGATGCTACGAACATAAGAAAACGTGGTGGCCGGCCCAGCTGCAGCTGGGAGCTTCGTGCAGCCATTCAGGTTGAAGCGAGAGGTGTAGGGCCGAGAGGTATTGTCCTTGGCGCTTCGTTTCTCAATGAATGTGTAGCTGTCGGTACCGACTGTAGAGATTCCACCTGAGAAAGAATGGCAAAGGGAAGGACTCATGGGGATATTCGTTTGCATCTTCATCCATAGTAATGCACTTGCCATATTGCATCATTCTGCTCGCATTGCTGCTGCTTAACCCACCCCCCAGCCAGCCTAAGGTTTTGCCAAAAAGCAACAGCTTTTGACACTCATGTGTGGGAGTGAGGAGAGAGAGACGAGTGTTTGAGCGCACCCACAACACGTTTGGTGCCATTCCATAGCGCCAGGGCAATGGAGAGACTCACGAGAGGGAGTAGAGAGTAGAGAGCTGAGCGCGCATGCAGTGAAAAAGATCACCTGCTGCACATTTGGTGGCGGACAGCCCATTGCCTTGAGGGCACTCGCAGTAGGGCGAGTGAGGAGAGAGTAGGGCGAGTGAGGAGAGAGTAGGGCGAGTGAGGAGAGAGTAGGGCGAGTGAGGAGAGAGTAGGGCGAGTGAGGAGAGAGTAGGGCGAGTGAGAAGAGAGTAGGGCGAGTGAGGAGAGAGTAGGGCGAGTGAGGAGAGAGTAGGGCGAGTGAGGAGAGAGTAGGGCGAGTAAGGAGAGAGTAGGGCGAGTGAGAAGAGAGTAGGGCGAGTGAGGAGAGAGTAGGGCGAGTGAGGAGAGAGTAGGGCGAGTAAGGAGAGAGTAGGGCGAGTAAGGAGAGAGTAGGGCGAGTGAGAAGAGAGTAGGGCGAGTGAGGAGAGAGTAGGGCGAGTGAGGAGAGAGTAGGGCGAGTAAGGAGAGAGTAGGGCGAGTGAGAAGAGAGTAGGGCGAGTGAGGAGAGTGTAGGGCGAGTGAGGAGAGAGTAGGGCGAGTGAGGAGAGAGTACGGCGAGTGAGGAGAGAATAGGGCGAGTGGGGAGAGAGTAGGGCGAGTGGGAAGAGAGTAGGGCGAGTGAGGAGAGAGTAGGGCGAGTGAGGAGAGAATAGGGCGAGTGGGGAGAGAATAGGGCGAGTGGGGAGAGTGGATATTAGGGCGAGTGAGGAGAGCGGCGAGTAGGGCGACTGACCGTGAACACATTCGGTGGCGGTCATCCCATAGCCCTGCGGGCACTCGCAGTACGGCACCTGCACGTCACTGTTGGATGCCTTCACACTCTTGCACGTGCCTCCCGTGGGGCACGTGCCACACGGTGAGTCTGGTGAATGAGAAGGGGAGATGCAAGGGATGGGGAGAAGCAAGGGAGGGGTAAGCACAGGAAGAGGGATGGTGAAATGCCGTAGTGGGTATGGGGTTGATAGTGGAATGCACGAGGTATGGCGCTGCATGGCATGGGGTTGATAGACCATGTACCAAGGCATGACCCGAGGTGGGAATAGCAAAGCAGGAAATCTAGGCTCTCCCCAGTGGCAGGAGCGCCATGTTCACTTACCCCACTTGCAGTAGCGCTCGCCATTTCCATCCTTCTCACATTTGCCATCAGGCTCACAGCCCAGCGCCACACAGGCAGGATCTGCAGCAGAAGGGAAGAGAAGGGGGCAAGCGACAAAGATAGGGATTGTGCATTGATGCCATACGAGCATCCATCGGAATGACGTAGTGCGTGCATCACAGAGGCAAGAGGGTGGTACGGTGGACTGAAAGGCGCCATGACATCAGGGAGAGCAGCAAACCACCTCCTGTCCAATCACGCCCTTCCGAATCACAAGTTTCAAAGGGGTCTCTTTCAGAGAAACAGCTACTACCGTACCGTCCTTTGGCTGCAGCTGCGGCTGTGGCTGCGGCTGCGGCTGCGGCTGCGGCTGCGGCTGCGGCTGCGGCTGTTGCTGTGGCTGCGGCTGCGGCTGCGGCTCCTCCTTGGGCTGCTCGGGAGCAGCGCAGAGAACAGATGCCACGGAAGCACCCTGCCGGAGCCTCTTCTTTGTGCTTGGGAACCTGAAGGGCGTGGCAAGTGGAAACATAACCGATCACAACCCGCTTATTATTCCCTCCCCTCCCTTCCTGACACTTTCCTCTCTGCTCCTCCCCTCCCCTCCCCTCCCTCCCCAAGTCATACGCTGCTCACGGTCGCTCACGCATGGCCACACCACCCGCCACTCACATGGCACCGCTGACACACACCACCCGCCACTCACATGGCACCGCTGACACACACCACCCGCCACTCACATGGGCGCAGTGGAGTTGGGGTTGACCATAGAATCCACCTCCTTGCCCTGGCAGCCGCCCTTTTTGAACAGCTTCACCTGCGCGCACGACACACCCCCGGCGGTGCTGCCAGAAGCCACCACGCGGCCCTTCCACCACACTTGCACGTTCTTTCGCGTCGCCTTCCTGGGTACGCTCACGCAGCGCTGCTTGCTGAAGCTCAGCCGTGCCGCACCCACCTCCACCGTTGTGGTAACGCGCAGCTCTGACACCCCACTGCTGCTGCCAGCGCTGGTGCTTCCGGCGCCGGGGCTGCCAGCGGTGGTCTCTAGTGCAATCCTTGCATCAACCTTCATTAACTGCACTGCTGCAGAGGAGAAAGCAGAGGACGTGCAGAGAAGAGAAGAGAAGAGAAGAGAGAGAGCCAAGATCAGAGATAAAAAAGCTGTACTTCAGGATAGAGCTGAAAGTACTAAAAAGGTGGAAAGGAGAAGCAAGCAGGAAGGAAGGAATAGACAAGGGCTGACCACTCACTCGTACGCTTTGCAGAAATGAGAAGAGCAAGGGATTGCCTTGACCACTGACCGGCGATGAGGGCAACGACCAGCAGCAGGAAGGCGGCAGGAGAGGCGCGCATGGTGCTCATGATGGTGACGGTGGGGGCCCTGCGGGAGCGGCGGCAGAAGTGACAGCGGCCCTAGGGAGAGCGAGAGAACAGGCGCAGCAGAGGCGCAGAGAGCTTTCTGTTGCCACGTGCGAGTCACGGTCACGGTGTAGAGTGGCGATGGGTAAACCAGAGATGATAACAATAGCAGCTCGCTTTCCAACATGGCCACTGGAGTGTGCTGCGTGGTGGCTCTTATCGCGAGTTACGAGGGCGCGAGCCACGCATGGTAGCCGCCGCGTCATCTTAGTTTAAAGCGTGATGTGATGTGCTGCATATAATGCACGATGTGATTTGTAATGCAGTGCTTTCAGTGAGTTGACGAAGGCGATATGTCTTGAACTATAGCACAGTATGCGATAGTGTGCTTGGCGAGCTGCTACGACGAAATCGCAGCAGTTATTCTGGGAACTCGATGCGTGCGACGACTTGAAAGGCGAGGCGTCGGTACGTCAGGTGGTTCTTGACTTGAGAGTGCATCGCAGGGACGGAATAAATTGGAGAGGAGGAGACGGAGGCACTGTCGTTCACCAATCATCGATGGGACAACGCGGTGTGCTTTCCGTTCATCGCTTCCTTTTGTTTGACTAGCTTCCAATCAGGTTCAGCAGTGGAGATGTGCGACTGGGTGAACATCTCGCGAGACCAGCAGCTGCATTATATGGGCGCATCAAATAAAGACTACGCCAGGCAAGCGAATGGCAGCAGCTAACTTCTTGTAAGGAGGTTCGGGCTCAGTCGCAGGGAGGTCGCTCTGCGATTTTCCTCATAAGAGCGTGGTTGTTCGTCAAAAACCCTCCAGTCACTCTCCCGTACCTGGTGAGTTCACCTCCTATCGAATAGGGTCTAGATCTGTTTTGTCAGCTGGCTGTGTGAGTGACGCGTTCAAACCAGGCCTGTCGAAGTTTCTGGGGCTCGTACTTGCGCTCCCCAGCTCCTCCCCATCTGACCCTTGGTTGGGTGTAGGTGAGCGTTTTGGCGCCCTTAACGGTCACGGGCGCACCCCAAAGTGAAAACTTGAAATCCGGGCATGTTAGAAGTTTGCACTCACACCTGTAAACTGCGGCCAGCTCGTATTGGACGCTAAGGGAATGTTCGGGTGCTCCAAGGCTGACTGAGACACACTACACACACGAGATTGGCTAGAAAACGCTAAGGGAAAAATCCCCTCGGCGCGCTCTCGTGGAGGCTAAGGAGAAAGAGGGGAGGGGGGTGTCTCTGGCACCCTAAGGGGGGGGGTCCTACGATCGGAAACCAAAACTTAGATAAAGGGGAAGGCCTGGTTTCGTCCCTTAACGCATCCGGGGAAGGGTCGAACGAAGCACTTAGTGGCACGGGTGGGTACGAATCTGAAACTTGACGCATTGGAGCTGGAGCGAAACTAGCCCTTAATGTTCAGGGCATTAAGGGCATATGCCCGTCAATCGACAGGCCTGGTTCAAACAAGCTCGCAGGTGTGGGAGTTTCAGAATTTGCTACTAGGTGGTGTTTCTGAAACACCGTGGTACAGGTCGTTCAAAGGGAGTGGAATGTGGTACGAAGCTGGGGTCAGGCCGTATTTGCGAACTGTGCGAATTCCGTTGGGTGTTTCGCTGGCGCGGCTGACTCTCCATCGCAAGAATGGAGGCAGGTTCGCCTCCCCTCGTCACCCGCACGAATGGAGGGCAATAAGATCATTCGCTCGTTGAAGTTCCCCGCTTTACCGTATTAGCTTTGCATTCACTATTCCCCGCTGTACTTCCGCTAAGAGGGCTGGCTACGACGGTCCAGCTCGCTTCCTGCTCCTCATTTCTTAGTAACGATTGCTGAGGCACCCACCATGCCGTTCACTCGCCATAGCTCCCTCGCTATGACGGACGACTCCCCGATCCAACGGCTCTCAGACCATCTGCTTGCGAGAATCCTCCATCTCGCCTCTGCACCCGGCAGGTTCCAGCACGCGCTAGTGTGCAAGAAGTGGCGCGACGCGGCGTGTCGCGTGCAGGATGCCGTTCAGCTGCGCTCCGACCGTCGCATGGACGCGCGCCGACTGCTCTCCGAGATCTCGGCATTCCCGAGGCTCACAGAACTCATCCTGTCCGATCGGAGCCTGATATCCATCCCCGAGGGTTTCCTCTCGACCCTGGGTGCCTCGCATCCCGGGCTGATCAAGTTTCACTTTCGAACCATGTTCGACACCGTCGCGCGCATCGAATGTTTCACCGAGGAATGCCTTTCGCGCTTCTTCCAGGGATGCACGCGCCTCGAGGACCTCAATCTAGAGTGCCCGCCGGCTCTGCCCGCCATTCCCGCCGCCATCGGCGCCTTCGCGCGCCTCTCTCACCTGCACCTCGCGGCGCACGTGCACCGCCTCCCCGACGCCTTCACGAGCTTGCGCGCGCTGCGCACGTGCGTGCTGCACATGCCCGCCCTGCACGAGCTGCCTCGGGGCTTCGGCAGCCTCACTTCTCTCCAGTCCTTGCACCTCGATGCCTGTCAATCTCTCGCTTCACTCCCGGAATCCTTTGGCGAGCTCGCTAACCTAGACCGCCTTTCCATCAGCGGCTGTACCAGCTTCCGTCTGCTGGAGTCCTTCCCTGCGCTGGCATCGCTCAGGGAGTTGAAGCTGAAGCGCTGCCAGGCGCTCTCCCCACTGCCAAAAGGATTTGGGCAGCTGCAGGCGCTGGAGAGTGTGGTGGTGGAGGAGGTGGGTGGGATGACAGGCCTTCCTGAGTCCCTGGGGCAGCTGCAGCGCCTGCAGTCCCTTTCCATCAACGACTGCCGCGACCTCTCGTCTCTGCCGTCCTCCCTGCCGCACGTGTCATCGCGCACCCATGTGCACCTCAACGCACCAAAACTCGCGCTGGTCCCACATGCTGTCGCCCGCTCTTCACGCCTCCCAGCGTTCAGCCTGTTAGCGGGAAGCTTCACATGCTTACCTGATTCCTTGACTCTCGCTACGGCCCTGCAGCAGCTGGCGCTTCACAATCTGCACTCGCTGACGGCTCTTCCTCGCGACTTGGGCAACCTCAGCAACCTGCGCGCGCTTGAGATTGTGGAGTGCAGCCAGCTGGTGGGGCTGCCCGCCTCGCTGTGCCTGCTCTCCTCCCTCACTCGCCTCACACTCACTGAATGCCCCGCATTGGCGGTGCTGCCACGTGCCATGGGCCTTGGCCTGCACAGCCTGCGACACCTCACTCTCAGCTGCAAGAGCCTCACCCACCTGCCACCATCCTTCTTCAGGCTGACCTCGCTTGAAGAGCTGAGAATGGTTCACCTGGCGTGCGTGAGAGGGCCCCTGCCAGACGCCTTCAGCTGCTTCACACGCCTGAGGGACCTCTCTCTTGTCGCCATGCCTCACCTCACGGCCCTCCCGCCGTCGCTGGCTGGCCTCGCCCCCACGCTCACCAGCCTGCGCGTGGACGGCTGCAGCGCGCTGAGGCACGTGGCGGACGAGCTCGCCCAGCTCACTATGCTTGAGTCCCTCACTCTCACGTATTTAGACAGCTTGAAGTCGCTCCCGCCGTCGCTGCTTGAGCTGCCTCGGCTGCGGGAAGTGGTGGTGGATGAGTGCAGCGAATCAGGCAATGCAGCGAATCAGGCTAGTGGTCGCTGCACTTTCGGTGAATATTGGTTGGTGGCATCTGCAGCAGCGGTAGTGACAGCAGCAATAAAGAGCGGAGTGCAGTGTTTACACTGCGTTTATCATCAAATTCCTGACTAGTAGATGATAATCCGTGTTGTGTGTATCTTGAGCTGGCGCTCAGATTGGCTCCCATTGTTTCCTCCGTGCAGGTCCCGCTCTCACCCTTTTTCATCCCTAACACCTGTTCCTGCCCTGCTCTGCCTCCCTGCATTCCCTCCATGATCCTCTCTCCCCCCCTTCTCCTCTCCCTTTGTCTCCCTTCGTCCCTGTCCTGCTCCCCTTTCTCCCCTTTCCATCCCTCTCCCTGTCCTCCTGCTGGATAAGGTGGTGAGATGAAGATGGGGGGGAAGGCACTGAGGGGAGTATGCATCAACAGGTGTTTGAACCAAGCTGGCTCGTGGCGTGCTGGCAGAGGTTCTTTTCCCTTTCCCTCCATGCTCATCGCGAGCCATGCCAGGCTCGATCGATACCCCTCTGCAGGTCGAACTGGGTGGGGCGTGAAACAAGCTGGGCTGGGCACGTTTGAAATTGCAAGGGTTGCGCGAGCATGGCCTGGCATTGTGTTATTTTACCTACCGCGTCAACTTTGTAGTTGTAGGGTTCTTCCAACCCTGCCAATGTGAATTAAAACAATAACCATGGAGTGTGGCTTCGTTCAAGGTGCGGATATGGCTCTCTTTCCCTATTACTAAGATATATAATGAACAATTACAAATACCTTCAATGTATCTATTTGCTAGACGACAAGGGTCTGAACTAGATGCTTGTCGTCTTACCGAGCCGTATTCTAGAGGGTTACGGAGAGGCACGAAGCGAACCCAGCAGCACCAGTTTGAGGCGGGGCAGTCTGAACGGAAACAGCCGTGTGACTGATACCCTCATTCTATGCCTAGGAAACGTGCCTCGCACCGACAACGCAAGGCCAAATAGGAGAACAGTTACGGTCGCCGTTTGAGGCGCCGCTATCCAGAGCTCACACACAGCGCACGCGCGGATCGCCGCTTCTAGTAGCATTGCGAACCTTCGCCCTCTTCTATCGGGAAAGGAAGAGGCAGCGGCACTCGTGCCCTCGTGGGGTGGTGATGGGGCGACTCGAGTATGCAGGCGAAGAGGAAGAGCGCGATCAAGCGGCGCGAAGAGAGAGTAGCGACGAGGACGAGGAGCCAAGGGCGCAGGAGGAGGGCGCGGAGGAAGAAGGGGGTTCAGGGGACGAGGAGAGCGATGACGAGTTGGGGCATGAGCGGGCGGCTGCGATTGAAGTCGGTGCTGTAGAGGGAGAAATGGCGGGAGAAGATGATAACGAGGATGACGGTAGCGATTCGGACGATGCGCCCGAGGAGTTCACTCTGTCGCAGGTGCACACCCTCCATTGCCGTCTCTCCCCTGCCCGCCCACCATCGCCGCCTCTCCGTCCGCCCGTCGCTGCTTTCCGTCTTTTGATCTCGTCGCGCCACTTCTTCTGAACTGATTTGCGCATCACTGCGTAAAATCCCCAAACCCGAAACCTTCGCTGTGCCGCTCCTCTCCCCCCGCGCTACCAGGGACGCGAGCGGGTGTCGCAGCAGCGCCAGCAGGAGGCGGAAGCGCGCCGCATGTGAGTGCACGCCGCATTGGGAGGTGACGTGGCATGTCCCCATTGGTTGCGATTACCTGCGCCTTTTGTTTGAGCTCTTTCCTCCGCCGATGTGCCCCCCGCCGTTGCGTCGCTCATCCCGATCTTTCCCCGCCGCCCCACCTCGCAGGGTTGCCGAGGCTGACAGAAAGGTTCGGCAAAAGCGAGCAGGCTTGGTAGCGAAGGGAGAGGAGGGGGAGGGAGAGGAAGAGGGAGAGGACGAGGAGCGGCGGGGCAAGGAGGCGGAGAGGAAGGCGAAGCGCAGGCGCGAGCTGGAGGGGCGCGCGGAGAGGCGCACGCGGCGGAAGGGGGCGGCGGAGGGGGGAGACGAGGCGGCGGGGTCGTTGGTACCCGCAGAGGCAAGGGGCGGTGCTCAAGAGGAGGGGACGGAGGGCGGGGCGGGAGCGGGCGGGGAGGAAGGGGAGGAGGCGGAGGGCGCGGTGGAGGGGGGCGACCTGCTTCCAGCAGACGTGATTGCTGCCGTCACACGACGCCAACACACCAGGTGCGCGCACAGCACAGCAGGTGCGCGCACAGCACAGCAGGTGCGCGCACAGCACAGCAGGTGCGCGCACAGCACAGCAGGTGCGCGCACAGCACAGCAGGTGCGCGCACAGCACACCAGGTGCGCGCACAGCACAGCAGGTGCGCGCACAGCACACCAGGTGCGCGCACAGCACAGCAGGTGCGCGCACAGCACAGCAGGTGCGCGCACAGCACAGCAGGTGCGCGCACAGCACACCAGGTGCGCGCACAGCAAGGGAATGCTTGGGGTAGGAATTAGAGTGCAGTGAGTTGAACTGTTTTGGGTTGGGTGAGAGCTGAGATGAGTCCCATTCGTGTGTGCTACTGCCCACCCCATTCTGCCTTTTCCCCACCTTGCTGTCCCCACCCAAACCCTTTCTCCCAATTGAAGGTTCACAGAAGCGCAGGAGGAGAGGTCACGGTCAGCAGTGGGGGCGAAGAAGCAGCGGACGGGGCGGGGCGGCAGCAGAGGCAAGGACAGCCACACATCAGCCGTCATCGGCACACGGTGGGTGCTGTGGCATGCGGCATGCGGTGGGTGCTGCGGCATGCGGTGGGTGCTGTGGCAGGGTAGCGCTGCCAGAGTGGTATGGTCGTCTACTTGTCCTCACTGCCCTCTTCCATATCCCTACGCCCACGGCCCGTCACCCGCCCCCTGTTTCGCTTCGTCTCAGCTGCTCAGCTTGCCCTCCCACCTCCATGCCATTCACTGCTCCTCTTCCTCCCAAAGTCCCAGTCAACATTTTGCCCGCACCAGCGCCCTCACCATACCTCGCGGACAGCACTCACAACACCACTGCACCATTTAAGCAAAGGCACCTGCTGCATTGTTCCAACCCCCCGCTCGTCCTCACATCAACCCACTCCCCCGTGTGTGCCGTGCAGGTCGGACGGGGCCATGGTCATCCAGGCGGGGGCGCCGGCCCCAGAGGGCGAGTCTATTTTTGAGTCGACTGAAAAGTATCCCCCCCCCTCCCTCCCCGCTCCCACTCGTCCCGCTCTTCTCACTCCGTGGCTGCCGTGCAGGTCAGACGGGGCCATAGTCATCCAGGCAGGGGCGCCGGCCCCAGAGGGCGAGGAGGCGGCGCGGGCCATCATGCGTGCGGCGCAGAGCTTTCGGCACGGCGTGCTGTTTGGGCGGCGGCAGCGGTCGCTGGCGGCGCTGGGGTTTGTTGACTCCAAGGCGCTGAAGGTGGCCGGGCAGTGGCGGGCAGACAAGCACCTCGTGGCGGGGGGTGCGGGGGGTGTGGGCGCGAAGGGGACTGTAAAAAAACGGGGAGACGGCAAGCGCAAGGGGAGGGGGCGAGGTGGCGGTAGGCGGTGATGGGGTTGTTGACCCCACGGCACTCAGGGGTGGCGGGACAGTGGCGGGCGGACAAGCACCTCGTGGCGGGGGGAGTGAGGGGAGCGGGCTTGCAGGGGGGTGTAAGGGCACGGAGGGGAGGCGGTAAGCGCAAGGGGAGGGGGCGAGGTGGCGGTAGGCGGTGATGGGGTTGTTGACCCAAGGCGTTCCTCGTGGCGGGGGGAGGGGGTGCGGGCGTGCAGGGGGGTGTGGGGGCGCGGAGGGGAGGCTGCAAGAAGAAGGGGCGGGGCCGTGGTGGTGGGCGCACTCAGGGGAATCGGCATATGCCAGCAATGATTGACTCGTAATGAGTACATCAAATTACGGTAGCAGTTTATGATCAATATATTGGAGTACTGTTGTGGTAATGAATCAGTCAGAGCAGAGGTTGCTAGGAAGGAATAAATCACTAGAAATGAATGAACCAGAATAGGTATTGCTGCTAAGAATGAAAAAATGGTGCCAGCAAATGAATGGAACAGAGCAACAGTTGCAAGTACCGTAATAAACGGACCAGTACCGTAACCTGTACAAGAGCAGCAGTTGGGGTTTATCGTGCCCAACAGGCCACTGAGGAAAGCAGCGGTGGGGAAGGAAGACGAACATGGAGATGAAGGCATGGGCGCAGGCCCCCTCTCCCAACCCACGTGGAGGCATGGGGGTGATGTGCTACAGCTGAAGGGGCAGCACGAGGTGGGGGGGGATGTGGGCAAGCGATGGTGGCAGGGCGTGCAGCACGTGCCCAAAGCCTCTCAGCTGCGCGCCATAGTGCGCCGCCACCCTGCCCTGTGCTTGCACCTCTACCGCCTCCCCCACCTCTGCTGCCCCCATCCCTCCCTCTGCCAAAACCGTTTCCTCACGGCCTGCTGTGTGCCTTCCCACAACCGCCATCCCTCCCTCCTGCCTGTGCCCCTTCTCGACCTCCACCGGGGCCTGGGCACTGTCTCCCTTCCTCCCCACCTCCTTCCTCCCCACCTCCCTGCTGCCCACCTCCCTGCTGCCCACCTCCCTGCTGCCCACCTCCCTGCTGCCCACCTCCCTGCTGCCCACCTCCCTGCTGCCCACCTCCCTGCTGCCCACCTCCCTGCTGCCCACCTCCCTGCTGCCCACCTCCCTGCTGCCCACCTCTCTGCTGCCCACCTCTCTGCTGCCCACCTCTCTGCTGCCCACGTGCCACCGCTTCACCACCTTCCACTCCCCCGCCTCCCCCGCCTCGCCTGCCCCACACGCCCTGCTGCCTCCCTCTGCACTCACCCACTCCTGCTGTGCTCCCACACGCCTCTCCTCTCCTGATCCCCCCTCGCCCTCATTATCCACACCACCGCAGCACCCACACGCGTCACCCGAGCCATCAGCATGCTCTCTTAACACAAGTGCCTTCCCACAAGTCAGCCGAGTGCGACGCGGAGGGCAGGGCAGCAGCAGGCGCAGGCAGTCAGAGACAATGCCATCGTGCCCGTCATGGCGCCCGGAGCTGTGCAGGAAGGCCACCTGCACTGTGTGCCATGCTGCTGAGGGGTTGCTGTCGCACACGTGGGAGCGGCTGGATCCGGTAGGGAGTGGTGGAGTGTGGTGGCGTGGCTTGCATAGCTTGGCGCAAGTGACAATGCCCACATGTGTGGCGCGTGCCGTGCCGAAGAACACCTGCCAGCCCGTGATGCATGCACGATGAGGAGGTGATGCATGCACGATGGGGAGGTGATGCATGCACGATGAGGAGGTGATGCATGCACGATGAGGAGGTGATGCATGCACGATGGGGAGGTGATGCATGCACGATGAGGAGGTGATGCATGCACGATGGGGAGGTGATGCATGCACGATGAGGAGGTGATGCATGCACGATGGGGAGGTGATGCATGCACGATGAGGAGGTGATGCATGCACGATGAGGAGGTGATGCATGCACGATGAGGAGGTGATGCATGCACGATGGGGAGGTGATGCATGCACGATGAGGAGGTGATGCATGCACGATGGGGAGGTGATGCATGCACGATGAGGAGGTGATGCATGCACGATGAGGAGGTGATGCATGCACGATGGGGAGGTGATGCATGCACGATGAGGAGGTGATGCATGCACGATGGGGAGGTGATGCATGCACGATGAGGAGGTGATGCATGCACGATGAGGAGGTGATGCATGCACGATGAGGAGGTGATGCATGCACGATGAGGAGGTGATGCATGCACGATGAGGAGGTGATGCATGCACGATGAGGAGGTGATGCATGCACGATGAGGAGGTGATGCATGCACGATGAGGAGGTGATGCATGCACGATGAGGAGGTGAGCGGCCGCGGCAGGTGCTTCTTTGGTCGATTAGGAAAACCGAAAAGAAGCTGGTGTGCCTGCAGAGTGGCGATGCATGAGTGAGGTGCTGAGCGGTGCGAGGTGTGCAGGGGTTGGTGGTAGGGCGTGGAAACAGACGTGCAGCAGCGAGGGGGCATGGTGAGAGGCGTGGGAAGAGGTGGGGCGTGCAGTGGGGCGTGCAGTGGGGCGTGCAGTGGGGTGGCGTACCAGATCGCCTCTGGCGATGCGGTCCACACAGAGGGGCTCACAAAAGGCCTCCTGCACGCATGGCGCGGTGAACAGGGAGGGTTGAGAGCACGGAGGGGGGTGAGAGCAGGGAAGGGGGGGAGCGAGTGAGAGCAGGGGGGGTGAGGGCAGGGAGGGGGGTGAGGGCAGGGATGAGCAGGAAGCATGGCAGATGAGCAGCATGCAGCATAAGGGTCATGAGGAGAGGAGGTGTCTCGTAGTGAGGCGGACAAGAACCAGATGCACTGACCTGCTGAAAGGCGTCTCGCGGCACCCACACTCCAGCACATGCATATGCTCGCTGCACTGCATGCATGCGCACCACATGGCCACCATGCCATCACACCCAGCATGCCATCACACCCAGCATGCCATGGTGCATCCCCGAAACAAGAAAAAAAAATCCGAAAGAGAAGGATGAGAGGAAATGATGTATTCTTGGGAAAGAGCACTTGGTGCGAGCACTGGCAGCGCAGAAGAGCACAGCACGGCATGCCGTAGCAGGGCAGTGCACAGAGGCGTGCAGCTCAGGAGAACGAGGCACAGAGGCGTGCAGCTCAGGAGAACGAGGCACAGAGGCACAGCCGCGCCACTCATCCCTACCGCCCTGCTGCGACCACTTCTGAGTCAGTCTAAGTGACAGGGTGACAGGGTGACAGGGTGACAGGGTGACAGGGTGAGATGGTCACGGGTCGGGAGCAGCGTTGCCACCTGGCGCACATTCATTCCGCACTTCCTTAGCTTTTCCACCGCAACCACTGCAGCCAACGCTGCTGCGCTCTGCGCGTGGGGCGGCAGCGCCATGAGGCGAGGGGCAAGGGGAGGCACGCACCCAGCCCACTGCAGTCGAAGTGCGGCCCCGTGGTGCCGCCCCACAGGTACCTATTGCTCTCCGCCCTAGCTGCCTCCGCGAATGCTGCCACGGCCTCTCTCACCCCCTCCATGCCCCCCTTCCCCGCCGAGCCTCCGCCTTCACACCCTCCTCCTCCGCCGTTCCGCCTTTCCGTTCCGCCGTCCCCCGCACTGCCTGCCTCCCGCCTCGCACTCTCCGAGCCAATGGACAGGCGACGGATGGCGCCTTCGGCCACGTCAGCAGCCGATATCCACCCGGGATACGCGTCCTCGCACAGCCGGATCGGAATGGCGCCCCGTGCCACGTCGGACCCTAACGGTCGCTGTGCCTCGTGAGAGCCGGAATGAACGGCCGCAATTTCCGGATCGCGAAGGCGGGGTTCGATCGAGGCGGCGGCGAGCGCGACGAGGCGCCGGCCCATCCACGCCTGCGTGGCGAGGCGCGTGCAGCGCGGCGAGTCGAAGACGTCGAGGCGCGGGTGCGCGACCTCGAATAGATGGTGGTCCGTCTGCGACAAGAGCACGACCGTCGCCGCTTCCATGCCGGGCCAAGTCAGGCGACGCGAGGAGAGGCGAGGCGAGGCGGACCAGAGGCGGGTAGGCAAAACGCGGGCGAGCGACGGAACGGGATGGATGAGAGCACGGTGCTGCGTGCACCATGTGACACCCCTCTGCTGCTTTGTACCTTCACTCAGCTGTGGTACAAGTAGCGGTCAGGCAGGATTCCACGTGATCACTGATCACCGAACCTGCGTCTCGTCACGATGGACCAAATCAGGGCGCGGAACATTTGCGTTCACGCGGGCTTTTGAACTACAGTAAGGGGAGAGAAAACAGGTGGTTTGTAATAATAGTTGTTATGCCACCAGAACAGCACCACGCCACGATTCAACAGTATTTATCTGCCAAATCACCGAATCAGGTCATGCTGGCGGGATTTCTCGTTTTGAAATTTTGCCAAAATCCCGCCACATCCACATTTTGCGCCTCGGCGATGGGTGATCGGTCCCAATCGAAGGTTGGCATCACGGTCGATCAGCGTGGATCTAGACTCGATCGAATTCCACATTGGCGCATCAACAATACAGCTTCGTTTTCAAAACTAGATCTGTTACATATGGTAACGCGGAAACCACTTGCAGGTTCTCGATCGAATCTGCCGAGCACCTGCGCCCAAAGCCAACGACAAAACCCTCACCCCAGCTTCTTTATTGTGAAACTTAGGTGTGCTGAACACCAGATGTATTGGTGAACAATCAGCTACACACGGTTACCAGCCACCACTACAGCGGCGAGCAATGCAGGGCGACGAATCGGACGGCGCGACCGCGGGCGAGAGAGTGGCGGCGCTGAGAGCGGTGCAAGCGCGCCGGCAGGAGCTGCTGCAGGCTCTGCGGGCGTTGGATGAGGAAGATCGACGGTTGAGATTAGGCGGGGGCCGAGAGACGGAGGGGGAGAGACGGAGAGAAGGGGGAGACGACGGAAAGCGGAAGCCGGAGACCCGGGAAGCGGAGTGCGGGCAAGCGGGCGGAGGGAAGCGCAGCGGCGGAGTGGAAAGCGGGAGCGGAGCGGAATCCAATGCGCGCTCGCCGGCTGCTGACGGCCCCGCGATTGGGGCTGTGGAGGGGGGGAATGGCGGGGATAGGGGCGATGGCGGGTTACCAAGGGGGGGCGCAGGAATCGAGGGAGCGGGAGCAGAAGCGGGTGGCGGGGCAGGCGAGGGGGGGCGCAGCTTTGAGGCGGAACACGCTTTGAGCGCGCGGGAGGTGCAGCGCTACTCGCGGCAGCTCATGCTGCCGTCGTTCGGCGTCGCAGGTGCGCGCCGCGTAGCAGGTCACACTGCCTCTCACTGCCTCTCACTGCCTCACACTGCCTCTCACTGCCTCACACTGCCTCACACTGCCTCACACTGCCTCACACTGCCTCACACTGCCTCACACTGCCTCTCACTGCCTCTCACTGCCTCTCAGCGCCTCTCAGCGCCTCTCAGCGCCTCTCAGCGCCTCTCAGCGCCTCTCAGCGCCTCTCAGCGCCTCTCAGCGCCTGCGCTCTAATGTTCTTCCGACCACCATTTTGCTACCCTCTGCCGCTCCCTTCCCTTCCTCCGTCCCCAACCCCAACCCCTCCCTCCGCCCACCCCCTGCCCCCCCTCCCCCTGACCCACCAGCGCAGCAGCGGCTCAGGCGCGGGTCCGTGCTGGTGGTGGGCGCGGGCGGGCTGGGGTCGCCGGCTGCGCTCTACCTCGCTGCGTGTGGCGTGGGTGCGTGTGGGGGGCGAGTGGTGGGGGCAGAGAAGGTGGTGGGGGCAGTGAAGGTGGTGGGTGGGGGTGGTGGGGTTGGTGAGGGTGGTGGGGGTGGGGGGGGTTGGGGGGGGGGGAGGGCAGTGGAGACAGTAAGGGCAGGGCGAGTGGGGGGGGTGGTGCAGGCAGTTGGTACGGTGGGGGAGAGTGTCGTGATGTGGATGTTGGTGAGATGCTGCGTGTGGCATGGCATGGGTGCTGTATGGGTCGTGGGACAATGAATGGGCGCTCCATGCCCGCATGCCAGCGCGCCCACCTCACCCTTCCTCCTCTCCTGTCCTCCTCACTCCCGACGGCACGCTGTGCCCTCATTCATCCCACATGTCATTCCCCCCGCATAACTGCTCGCCCGTTGCATGTTTTGTCATGGCATGGCATGGCATGGCATGCAGGGCGCATAGGCATCGTGGACAGAGATGACGTAGAGCTGTCCAACCTGCACCAACAGGTGAGATGAAACGCAGAGACAGGTGAGATGAAACGCACAGACAGGTGAGATGAAACGCACAGGTAAATTATTTTTGCTCGTTGTGGGTTGCTGTGCGTGGATACTTGGCTGGCATGGTGCTTCCCTTCCCTGTGCTCCCACACCCGCTGCATGCCTCCACTCCACTCACCCTTTCCCATCACCCGTGCGTGCCTCATGCTGCCTCCACTGCACTGCACTATCTGCCTGCCTGTCTGTTGGTGAGGGGCGCAGATCATCCACTCGGAGGCGGCGGTGGGTCGGCCCAAGACAGAGTCCGCTGCTGCTGCCTGCACCAGGTGATGCTGAGCTGGCACCAGGTGATGCTGTGCGTGCCTGCCTAGCTTGAATGAATCTACGTGCAGCATGTGATGGCCAGTTGGTGTCTGCTGCTGTTGGTGTCTGCTGCTGTTGGTGTCTGCTGCTGTTGGTGTCTGCTGCTGTTGGTGTCTGCTGCTGTTGGTGTCTGCTGCTGTTGGTGTCTGCTGCTGTTGGTGTCTGCTGCTGTTGGTGTCTGCTGCTGTTGGTGTCTGCTGCTGTTGGTGTCTGCTGCTGTTGGTGTCTACGTGCAATGAGCGACCCGCTGAGCGCATGAGACCACGGGGCATGGCACAGCGCATGGAGCATGGCCATGGCATGAGTGTGTGCGAGTCGCTTCGTTTCGTTTTGTCTAATGCCTTTCATGATTCATCACGCTTGTGCCTTAAGTTACGTGGTCCGTGCGTGCGTGGATGGGTGCATGCATGGATGGGTGCATGCATGGATGGGTGCATGCATGGATGGGTGCATGCATGGATGGGTGCATGCATGGATGGGTGCATGCATGGATGGGTGCATGCATGGATGGGTGCATGCATGGATGGGTGCATGCATGGATGGGTGCATGCATGGATGGGTGCATGCATGGATGGGTGCATGCATGGATGGGTGCATGCATGGATGGGTGCATGCATGGATGGGTGCATGCATGGATGGGTGCATGCATGGATGGGTGCATGCATGGATGGGTGCATGCATGGATGGGTGCATGCATGGATGGGTGCATGCATGGATGGGTGCATGCATGGATGGGTGCATGCATGGATGGGTGCATGCATGGATGGGTGCATGCATGGATGGGTGCATGCATGGATGGGTGCATGCATGGATGGGTGCATGCATGGATGGGTGCATGCATGGATGGGTGCATGCATGGATGGGTGCATGCATGGATGGGTGCATGCATGGATGGGTGCATGCATGGATGGGTGCATGCATGGATGGGTGCATGCATGGATGGGTGCATGCATGGATGGGTGCATGCATGGATGGGTGCATGCATGGATTGGTGCATGCATGGATGGGTGCATGCATGGATGGGTGCATGCATGGATGGGTGCATGCATGGATGGGTGCATGCATGGATGGGTGCATGCATGGATGGGTGCATGCATGGATGGGTGCATGCATGGATGGGTGCATGCATGGATGGGTGCATGCATGGATGGGTGCATGCATGGATGGGAGGGCAAGGGTGCATGGGCGTGTGTGTGGGTGTGCATGGGTGAGCGTGTGGGTGCGTGTGTGCATGGATGGGATGGGATGCGAGCAGGTTGAATTCGGACATCACAGTGGAGACGCACAGCCACGGCTTCACACCCGCCAATGCCGTCCACCTCCTCTCCAGGTCACCCCTCACTCGCCATGCCTCTCACCACCCCCACCCCCACCCACTGCCCCACATGCATCACTGCCCCACATGCATCACTGCCCCACATGCATCACTGCCCCACATGCATCACTGCCCCACATGCATCACTGCCCCACATGCATCACTGCCCCACATGCATCACTGCCCCACATGCATCACTCCCCCACATGCATCACTGCCCCACATGCATCACTGCCCCACATGCATCACTGCCCCACATGCATCACTGCCCCACATGCATCACTGCCCCACATGCATCACTGCCCCACATGCATCACTGCCCCACATGCATCACTGCCCCACATGCATCACTGCCCCACATGCATCACTGCCCCACATGCATCACTGCCCCACATGCATCACTGCCCCACATGCATCACTGCCCCACATGCATCACTGCCCCACATGCATCACTGCCCCACATGCATCACTGCCCCACATGCATCACTGCCCCACATGCATCACTGCCCCACATGCATCACTGCCCCACATGCATCACTGCCCCACATGCATCACTGCCCCACATGCATCACTGCCCCACATGCATCACTGCCCCACATGCATCACTGCCCCACATGCATCACTGCCCCACATGCATCACTGCCCCACATGCATCACTGCCCCACATGCATCACTGCCCCACATGCATCACTGCCCCACATGCATCACTGCCCCACATGCATCACTGCCCCACATGCATCACTGCCCCACATGCATCACTGCCCCACATGCATCACTGCCCCACATGCATCACTGCCCCACGTGCATCACTGCCCCACATGCATCACTGCCCCACATGCATCACTGCCCCACATGCATCACTGCCCCACATGCATCACTGCCCCACATGCATCACTGCCCCACATGCATCACTGCCCCACGTGCATCACTGCCCCACATGCATCACCACCACACCACTCGCTGCTTCAGATTTCCCTGCCCACCCGTTGCTGCCTTCCTGGCTAATCCTCTTCCATCCCCCGCTCCCTCGCACCACCCTTCTGCTTCCCTTCCTTCCCTCCGTCCCTCACTTTCTGCGCATCCTGCTGTCCACACCTCAAGCTGGAAAAAAACGCTGTATTGAATGTGCGTATAGCATCTGAACACAGGTTAAATTTGAGCTTGATTCTACCAAGTGATGAACTCAAATTTGAGTCTCGCACATCGCAAAATCGATCTCAAATTACGAATTTCAAACTGGAAGAGTGTCAACCCTTCCCCTTCACCTTACAACCATTTCCGACCCAATCCCATCCATTCCCAATCCTCTCCACTCCGTTGTCTCCCATGAACCCATCTGCACCTCTTCACTTAACATCCCACCCGTGAGTTTTTTTTTCCTGCCCCGGTTTCTCCTCCCATCCGGGCTCACGAAAAACGCTTGCAACAATTCCGTCATTCCATGTCATGCACATCTGCTGAGCCCCACATGGTGCCTTTTATTCCCCCCCCTCCATCCTCCATCCCTCTCCCATATTCCACCCTCATCCCACGCCCATCCCACCCTCCTCCCTACCTCAGCACCCCAATCTCCCCCATGCGCGCTGTCCCCATCCCCCAACCCCCCGCACCCATCGTCCACGGCACGGCACATCACATCAGGTACGACGTGCTGCTGGACGCCTCTGACAACGTCGCCACGCGCTACCTCGCCAGCGATGCTGCTGTCGCCACCCACAAGGTGTGATGACCCTCCATGCCACGGCAGCGAGGGAGCAGGACAGCGCAGCGCACTGGGAGGAGACATCAGCCCGGAGAACCAAGTGAAGCTCATTTCACAAGTGAAATCCGGCTTTGGCATGCGCAGAGCACAAGGGATGAAGCATGAGAGAGGAACGGGCAGCCCTTCCATGTTGTGTTGTGTTGTGTTGTGTTGTGTTGTGTTGTGTTGTGTTGTGTTGTGTTGTGTTGTGTTGTGTTGTGTTGTGTTGTGTTGTGTTGTGTTGTGTTGTGTTGTGTTGTGTTGTGTTGTGTTGTGGACATTTCGTGTTGCCATGTGCTGGGTCCACTTGGCGTGTGCTCTTCTTTACATCACGCTCCCACTGACTTTTTACCTCCCTCCTCCACCCCCTTGTGCTCTGCCTTTCTCTGTGCAGCCGCTCGTGTCAGGAGCAGCACTGGGCACTGAAGGACAGGTGAGCGTGCAGCGGGGCAGGGCAAGGGCAGGTGAGGCGGGAGGAGGATGGGTTGGAGGAGGGAGGGTAAGGGGTGGGGGGCTGGGTGCATGGAGGGGTGGGGTGGGGCTGCACGGTGCCTCATGCTCCACTATCGTCCCGCCCATTTCGCATATTGTAAACTCTCCCCCTTCCTTCCCCTCACTCCTCCCTCCCCCACCACCCCACCCCCCTCCCCCCCATCAGATCACGGTGTACTGTGCATCGCCCACAGCGCCGTGCTACCGCTGCCTCTTCCCCTCGCCGCCTCCCACCTCCGCCTGCCAGCGCTGCTCCGACAGTGGCGTGCTGGGTGCAGGTGAGGGATGGGCGCAGGTGAGGGATGGGCGCAGGTGAGGGATGGGTGCAGGTGAGGGATGGGCGCAGGTGAGGGATGGGCGCAGGTGAGGGATGGGCGCAGGTGAGGGATGGGCGCAGGTGAGGGATGGGCACAGGGATGTGTTTCCTCCGCTCCGGCATTCTGATGAAGTCTCAACCCAATTGGACTGCAATGCGCCAAGCAAAGCCTCTCAAGCACTGACTGTCTTCACGTGTAGCTGGCTGTGAGTTGTCTGATTGCACGTGGATCCCATCACTAATAGGCGCCGTTGGCAGTGGCTTGGTGGGCGATACAAAGCAGAATACGAGGAGGTGCATGTGGTGGTAGAGAGGTGGTGGAAACACTGGAGCAACATGGAGAGCCAGCAGTGAGCATCATGTGCAGCATGCCATTCTGCACGCCTCTTGCTTGCCGTGCCTGCTCCGCTTCACTCTCTTTCCCATGCACTTGCCATTTCCCCACCTGCCTGTGCACATCTCCCCACCCGCCTGTGCACATCTCCCCATTGCATGGCGGCAGTGCCGGGGGTGATAGGCGCATTGCAGGCGGTGGAGGCGGTGAAGCTGCTGGCGGGGGTGGGCGAGCCCCTCTCACCGCGCATGCTCGTCTACGACGCCCTCGCCGCCTCCTTCCTCTCCGTGCGCTGCCCCCATGCCCCGCCCACCCATGCATGCCCCTCCCACCCATGCATGCCCCGCCCACCCATGCATGCCCCTCCCACCCATGCATGCCCCGCCCACCCATGCATGCCCCTCCCACCCATGCATGCCCCGCCCACCCATGCATGCCCCTCCCACCCATGCATGCCCCTCCCAACCATGCATGCAATTCCCAACCATATAAAACACTAACAAGGTTAGTCTAAGATTTGTACTGTTACTGGCATCGCATGGACATGCATTGATGATGTGCCCTCTCTGCCATCCACCATGCCAGCACGCCACGCCTGTGCCCACCCTGTCTGCCACTGCCCTCCCACCGTGCGCCCTTCCCGCTGCCACCCTCTGCCCCCCTTCCCCCCCTGTGCCACCACCAGGTGAAGCTGCGAAATCGAGTGCCGACGTGCATGGCGTGTGGGGAGGGCGCCAGCATGACGGCGGGCAGTATCAGCGCCTTTGACTACGAGGCCTTCACCGCCTCGCCCTTCCACGACCAGGTGCCCCCTGCTGCTCCTTTCACCGTGCACCAAGTGCCAATGCATGGCATTGATCCATGGTGGGAGTGGTAGTGCAAGTGAATGGAATCACATTGATTGGAGTGCAGCGCATCTCAAAGGTGACGACCACGGTATCGCCTAGTACCAAACCATGCACCTTGTGCCGTCTTTTACCATCCCATCCCGTCCCATCACATCCCATCTAAAGTCCCATCCCTGCGTCCCATCTACCTGTATTTCCTTCACACCACTCACACAATCCACTCTCCTACTCACCTCTTCCCCTCGCCCCCTCAAACCCCCCTCTCTCCCCCTCGCCCCCGTCCAACGCCAGGGCCCCAAGTCCCTCTCTCTCATCCCCCCCAGCCAACGAGTGCCGCCCGCCGCTCTCCTTGCCGCCCGGCAGCAGCGCCGCTCACACGTGGTGCTGGACGTGCGGCCGCCACACCTCTTCTCCATCGCCCACCTGCCCGGCGCCATTAACACACCCCTCGCCACCCTGGCGGCCGCTGTGGACGAGATCAAATCAGCCGCCCGGGCAGCTGCCACGTCAGCCTCGTCCACGTCACCACAACAGGCAGCTGCAGCGCCGTGTGAGCAGGTGGCAGCGGCAGAGGAGCAGCAGGGCGGGGCGAGTGGGGAGGAGGAAGGGGCGGAGGCGGAGGTGTTTGTGGTGTGCCGGCGGGGCAACGACTCGCAGCGCGCGGTGAGCGCGCTGAGGGAGGCGGGAGTGGGGTCGGCTGTGAGTGTGGACGGCGGCATGCTCGCTTGGGCCCTAGTGGACCCCTCCTTCCCCACCGTCTGATGTGCTAAAATGTGGATTCATCGTGGAATAACCTGATTCGATGCAGCCATAGTGTGTACGGTAGTGATTGGTGCTGTATTGAAGGGGACATTTAGCTGCTCTGAAAGACTTGAGGACAGCAGCTTCCTAATGCATGTGCAATGCAGTCGTCATAAGAGGGAGGCTTGCTGCATGTTACAAGTGTACACAATACAAGAAAAAGGTTCCGCTATTAGGGCAAAAGGTGGAGTAAGTCCATATTGGCCAGAGGAATAATCCCCGGGCCCATAACACAGGGAGATGGCTTGTGACCCCACTTGAGATGACGGGTTTAGTTTAGACCCCTTGTGAACTGTGTGTAGTTTAGCCCCTTATTCTTTTGGAGCGGGTGGGTGTGAGCACAGCAATGAACGCACGCGGCACGGCAAGCTCATGAGTGCGCGCAGCTGAGCAGCTCACAGAGGGCGCGCCTCCTCCTTGCCTGCCTCCGCCTGTCCTTGCCCGCTGCTAATCCTCGCCCACGGATGCTGGGTTCAAACTCCCCCCTGAAATGTGTAGAGTTCGGCCCCTTGCTCCTTCCGCAATGAATGAAGGCAGGCGAGACGGCAGCACGAGGTCGTGTTGAGTCATGAGAGCGCGCAGCAGGTGATCAGCACAGGGACGCCGCAGCCCCTGCTTGCCCGCCTGCGCCTGACTGTGCGCCGCCGCCACAGCCGTGTGAGCCTCCCCCACCACCTGCCCATGCCCCCGCCAGTGCTCACAGCACCCGTGGCAGCAGCACACGGGAAGGCCTGCTGCAGCTGTGCCGACCTGGGCGTGGGGGGCGAAGAAGGGGCAGCGGTGGGCTGTGCAAGAGGGATGGGCAGCAGTGCAGGCGTGGTGGGCATGGCGGGGGGAGTGGCCTCCCATGGCGACCACACAGCTGCTGCACTCACGGCAGCACCCGTGACAGTATCCGTGCCAGCCAGGTCCACGGCAGAGCATGGGGCAAGGGAGTGCGCAGCAGAGCATGGGGCAAGGGAGTGCGCAGCAGAGCATGCATGAGCAGCGGCGAGGTGGAGGCACGTGCTGCGAGGCAGCAGGTGGTGGGCAGGGGTGAGCGCGTGGTGTGATGGGGAGAAGGAGGAGGTGCTGGTGCTGGTGCGGGCAGTGCTGTGAGGCACATCAAGGTGTGAGTGTGGGGAGTGGGCAGCGCTGCTCAAGCTCCAACTCCTGTACTCGCAGCACCCCTGCTACTCCCACATCCACCCATCTGCACCCTCCCCGCCAGTCCAGGGGGGAGCGGCAGCAGCGGCAGCGGGCGCACAGGAAGTGAGGCGGGGAGAGGAGGTCAGGGCGGCAGCGGTGGGGCTCTCTCTGGCGCCACTGCCTACACGCCACGCGCTCACATGAACATCTACACTGCTAGGCGTCTCTTCTCCACCTCCCGCCAGCTCCGCTGCTCCTGCTGTTTGGGAGCGCCTCAGCTTGCAACGCTCTGATGGGGTCCTTCTCGCGCCCTCCTCCACCGCGCTACACCCACGCACACCCTGCCTCCCACCTGCGCTAGCAGCAGCAGCAGCAGCAGCAGCAGCGGCTCTGCTTGCCGCGCTACACCCCTGCGCACCTCCTGTGGCTCTCGCGGCAGCAGCGCCACGGCGGCAGGAAGGCAAACGCTCTTCGCGCTCGCGACACGCCCCCGCTGCCTCTCGCCATGTGCGCGCGAGGCTGCTGCTGCATGGGCCGCTAGTAGGGCTGCTCATATGAGGGATGGCGGCCGCGTGCGCCTCGCTGCCTGCGCGTTCATTGCCGCTCCACGGCTCTGCTGCCGCCACTGCCGCTCGCAGCCATGGCTGCGACCGGGTCAGCGAGGTAGCTGCTGCTGCGGGCGACGCGCGGACCCAAGCGGAGTTTCCCAAGGCGCGCATGGGGAACGCAGCGGAGTGGTTCGGCTGCGCGGCCGCGGCGTTCCACCGGCGCTGCTGCCACGTGTCGTGCCTCTCAGCTTCGCATCGCTCCATCAGCTCGCGTGGACTCAGCGCGACGCGTAGCCGCACGCGGCGTGGGCGCACACGGGGAGTGTTGAGAGGAGCGCGAAGGGCGAAGGGCGGTGCGCGGAGGCGACGAGGTCGCACGCGAAGAAGGACGGGCTGCTGCTCCCCAGCGGCCCGTCCGCCCAGCTGAACGCGCCGAGCGGGTCGTCCACGCAGCTCATTGCGCCGTGTGGGCCAAGAGATAACCTTGCGGTGCGCGTGGCGTGAACCGATAGCACGCAGTTCATTCCTCTCTGCATACACTGCACGCTCGTTCTACACTATAGATAGGCATCCGCACTTGCACGTTATCGTTGACGTCGAGTAGCGGAAAACTGCGCCGCATTGCTGAGAGGCATGGCTGAGAGGGCGGCCTTCATCAGCACCTGGTGACTCGCGAGTCAAATTCTCATCAGCAACGGCTGCGAGCAGGGGTGCGAGCAAGGGCCACTACTGGGCGCGGGACTGTTTGGGTATTGGAAGCCTGATGCTGCGCAATAGATCGACGAATCCACGCCGCGCTTGCACCCCTGGCGACATTGCAACATTCGATGACATGACGCTTGTTTCTCCCAGTCGACATTCGAGCTGTGTCTGGGCTGGCCGCAGCACCCCGCGTGGTCCCCGTTTCCCCACGTGATGATTCAGAGCGTGCCCGATTCTCTGCCATGGCGAAGCAGGCGCGCAATTCGGATCCCGACGGAATTTTGTGATCGCGTAACGTCAAAATCACCCTAGCGAGGCAAAGCGACATTCAACGCTCGTGCTGGACGCACACCAGTGATACTGGACCACCGCCTGAAGCTGTGCGCCCCATCATCACATCGCGTACGCGTAACATAGGGACCTCGGGACAAGCACATTCTGGAGCCATGTGAGACTGTTATGAGTTGTAAAAGGAGTGCGCAGGTAAACGAATAACGAGGCTGTGATTCAACCAACTGAGAATACAATGAAGGGAAAGTCTATCCCAGCTCCTGACTTTCAGTTTTTTCTCATATTTAGCCCTATGTTTACTCAAAAAGCACCACTTTCCATTATTTCTCTCACGCGAGGCCCAAAGTATGTTCAAAACTGGTCCTGCGGGGCGAAGTTTTCGACACGTGTCGTTTTGTTACCAGCTGACGCACTTCCACTCTGAACTAACCGTTTGTCAGGGCAATTTTCGCGCCGGAAAAGTTTTTACGGGACAAAAAAACATAAAACCCCTAAAGGACCATTACACATTTTCGGGAGGGAGCAACCCTAAACACGGGACCTGCTAGGTGTTTAGGGTTGATCCCTCCCGCGAATGTGTCCTGGTTCTCTAGGGGTTTTATTTTTTTTGCCCCCGTCCAAATTTTCCATGCGTGGAAGTTCGTCAGATGGTGTAACAAGAGGACACGTGTCGAAAAAATCGCCCCGCAGGACCACTTTTGAACATACTTTGGGCCTCGCGTGAGAGAAATTCTAGAAAGTGGTGCTTTTTGAGTAAACCTAGGGCTGAATATGAGAGAAATCTGAAAGTCAGGAGCGGGGATATACTTTCCCTACAATGAATGTGCAGATTAATGTAGGGCTAGCCTAGCTGGGAGGGAAACTCGGACGAGCGCGGTTTGGTGCAGGTTTGGCGACGGGAAAATACCGAAGGCGACGCGAGAAGCTTCGGCAGCGTTGAAATCGGCCGAACGTGCAAAGTCCGAAAATCGGGTTGTACGCGAAGCAGTCAAATTCCTTACACTACCCCCCTCCCTAAGAAAGGCTGTCAATATCCGAAACGTTCCTGCGTGCCAGATAATCATCAATAAGGCGAGTGGCGTCAAGCGAGGCGGATGGCACCCACGTGTCGTCCTCACTGGTGCGATCAGTCCAGCGGATTAAGAAATCCACGTGGCGTCCAGAAGCGTCCAGGCGGACCCTGTGAGCGAGAATCTTGGAAGGGTCAAGGGTAGGCTCCGGGACAGGCCGTGCCGTCGGGGCAGCTTGCTGACGTGCGATGTCGGTCGTAGCTGGTGCGAATTTGCGAAGAAGTCTGACGTGGAAGGCGTCGTGAATTCGCCAGTCGTCGGGTAGCAACAGCTTCGCGGTGACAGGTGTCACCATCTTGATAATTTTGAAGGGTCCGCAAAATCGTGGTCGTAGTTTGGACGGGCCCGGCAATTTGAGGTTTTTTGTGTCGAGCAGCACTAGTTGCCCAGTAGTCAGGACGAGTTCGCGGCGTAGAAGGTAGGTGTATTTTCGGGAAGTAATATTCGCCTTGCGAATTGCGTCCGCAGCCTTCTCTCGGATGCTTTGAAGTTCTGTCACAAAAGTCTGTGATCTCGGGACGGGGTTGTCGAGCGAAGTTGCCATGGGAACCGTCGGATCCATCCCGTAATTGTCAGAGGTCCACTGGTGATCCCCGATTGATCCTAGGGAAGGGTTACAGGCATGGCGGCCTGGGGGGTTATGGGCGCACTCACCCGCTACATAAACAAGCCCTTTTATCCCAATGGTTAGTGGTTGGGATTCTGACATGGTATCAGAGCGAAGGTCTCGGGTTCGAATCCCGGTGTGTGCACCTCGGGCATCCCAGTGCGGGGGGGTGTCAGAGGTCCACTGGTGATCCCCGATTGATCCTAGGGAAGGGTTACAGGCATGGCGGCCTGGGGGGTTATGGGCGCACTCACCCGCTACACAAACAAGCCCTTTTATCCCAGTGGTTAGTGGTTGGGATTCTGACAGTAATTTAGGAAGAACGGGGGGTGATTAGTTGTGCTTGACGGTGCGTTGTTGAAGGCGAACTCCAACATGGCGAGGGAATCTGTCAAACATGTATGCTGCATATTGTCTAGGCTGTAGTGGGGTAGCCCATATGGGGTACAACCAAATTAGGGTTTCCTACTTGTACTCCTGCATGCTGTTAGTTCATCATTCCTGCTGCCAGATTCTAACATGGTTTCAGAGCACTAAGGTCCGTAGGACCGTTTTTTTCGGGCCCACCTACCACTGCGGTTACCGCGCTACCCCACGTACCTGCCTGCCTTGCCTTGCCTGCGAGCCGTCCAGCAGCCCTAGCGCTGCCTCCTGCTGCCCTAGGCCAGCGCGCTGCCCCTAGAGGCCCGTAAGGCCCGCGCACCGCCCCTACACGCCCTTTAGGCCTGCGCAGCCCGCACCGAGCCGCGCGCAGCCCGCTGCTACCGCGAGCTGCCCGCACCGAGCCCGCGCATCCCGCACAGAGCCGCGCGCAGCCCCCTGCAGCCGCGCGCAGCCCGCACAGAGCCGCGCGCAGCCCGCTGCAGCCGCGCGCAGCCCGCACCGAGCCGCGCGCAGCCCGCTGCAGTAGCGCGCAGCCCGTACCGAGCGGCGCGCAGCCCGTTGCAGCCGCGCGCAGCCCGCACCGAGCCGCGCGCACCCCACTGCAGCAGCGCGCAGCCCGCACAGAGCCGCGCGCAGCCCGCTGCAGCCGCGTGCAGTCCGCACCGAGCCGCGCACGGCCTACTCCTGCCTTGCGAGGCCCGCGCGCCGCCCGCAGCAGCCCACGCGCGGCCCGCAGCAGCCCGCGCCGAGCCGCGCGCGGCTCGCCACTGCCTAACGCGGCCGCGCGCGGACTGCAGCAGCCCAGCGCGCTGTCAGCGCAGCCCGCGCCGAGCCGCGCGCGTCCCTCTGCCTCGGCCCCGACCTGCCGCTGATACGGCCCCGCTCTGCAGCTGCCACGGCCCCGACCTGCCGCTGAAGCGGCCCCGCCCTGCAGCTGAAGCGGCCCCGCCCTGCAGCTGCTTCGGCCCTACTCTGCACCGGGTGTTGCGGCCCCGACGTCGCCGCTGTCGTGCGCCTACTCGGCCGCCGCCCGTTGAGCGCCGGCCCTGCTCGCCCGGCGAGCGCCTGCTCTTCCAGCCTTTGGTGAGCGCCTGCCTGCCGGCCTGCCTGTCTGCTTGCCTGCCTGCCGGCCTGCCTGCCTGCCTGCCTGCCTGCCTGCCTGCCTGCCTGCCTACCGGCCTGCCTGCCTGCCTGCCTGCCTGCCTGCCGGCCTGCCTGTCTGCCTGCCTGCCAGCCTGCCGGCCTGCCTGTCTGCTTGCCTGCCTGCCGGCCTGCCTGCCTGCCCGCCTGCCTGCCGGCCTGCCTGCCTGCCTGCCTGCCTACCTACCGGCCTGCTTGCCTGCCTGCCTGCCTGCCTGCCTGCCTGCCTGCCTACCTACCGGCCTGCCTGCCTGCCTGCCTGCCTGCCGGCCTGCCTGTCTGCCTGCCTGCCTGCCTGCCTGCCTGCCTGCCTGCCGGCCTGTCTGTCTGTCTGCCTGCCGGCCTGCCTGCCTGTCGGCCTGCCGCGCCTGCCCTGCCCGCGCTACTGCTGCTGCTACTGCTACTGGCCGGTGGCCAGATGCAGCCCCAGCGACGTTCACGTGAGTCTCTCACGCCCCAGCAGCTTAGTGAGTGGTATACTAGCTGGGGTTGTCGCGGTAGCAGTCGTAGCTGTCCCCCTGGAGCTGGTCAGTTGGGAGCGTCTGGCAGTGGCCAGCTGCAGCTGCAGCGGCGTCCTCGCGAGACACTTACGTCCCGGCAGCTCCACGAGTGGTACGCTCAGTGTAGCAGGTCTACGCGTACAGTTCGCTGCCAGTACGTCATTCGCACAGGTGATCGGGTTGGTCAGCCTTGCGGGACGCTTGGTCACACACAGTCCCGCTGCTTCGCCCGTCTGAGCGACGACTGGCGTACAGTGTTTGGCGACGAGGCTGAGCTCCCCGACTGGCTGGAGCTGCTTGGACGGAGGGTAGATATCTTTGCTCCTGACTATGATGCTATTCTCACTGCCATGTATGCATTGCCTACTAGTGTTGACCGTGCCTGTTACCTGTGCGTCCCGCCTGACCCTGGTATAGCGCCTGCTGCTCCCGGTACTGGTGAGGCTGCTGCCCTAGGTGCTCGTGCGTCTCCTCCTCTGGGTACTGGTGAGGCTGCTGCTCTAGGTGCCGGTACGTCTCCTGCTCCAGGTGCTGGTGAGTCTGCTCTCTCTGGGTCTGCGCCTGCTGCGG